CTTTCCCTATTACTGTAGACACCGTGCCTGTTGCTGCAATAACTCGATTTTGTTTGCTCCCCTTAAACCCCCTCTCCCTCATCAGATTCTGCACGTAACCGCTCTCCATAAATCCATCGCTGACGCTAGAGCTCGATCCCGTCCCGTAGTCGGAGCTAGATCCAGTCTCTGGACCTGAAAACCCGCTCGAGACCGAACTCGTAAACGGATCATCGACGCTTTCCACCAGATCGGACAAAATCTCGGCCGCTTTGTCCGGATCTCCGCCGGCCTCCTTATACGCAGCCGTGGCTTCCTCTATCGAAACCGAGCAAAAAGCATCCCTCAACGACTCGATAACGTTGTCTTCAAAATTTTCCTTCTTAGCTTCCCGTTTTCCTCCAATATCGGTCGCTTCTTTCTCCAAGGGCTTTTTGCTCCCGGCGGACGGTCCACCGCAGGGGGAATTCGTGGCGCTTGATCGGTTCTTCTTTTTCTTCGAATTTCGCTTCTGCTTCATAGTTGGAGAACAGAGAAATCAAGTGAATGCCGGTCAAATCTATATGGATAAAAGACGATCTGCAGAAGCGAGGAACCCTAATTTTCGGGGAGAGAAGGGACAAGGATAAAATAGAAAACATAGAGAGAGGGTTTGAGGGCGGAAGGGGAAGTTTTTTTCTCCAGATTTGACTGGGAATCAGAATCTCCACACGCGCAGATGGTAGGCTCATAGACGGTGGCTTAATCCACGCGCTAACGTTGGCACCTCACGCGCTTGAAGGAGCGTATCCCCCACGCGTGCACGAGTGACGACCGGTTTCACTGTGCGGTTCAACCGTGTAACAATTAAACTAACCATTTGGTTTGCTCCACTTTGTTACAATTAATTAATCGACCGAATTCCTCAAAGAACCACATGCAATACAATATATATATATATATATATACACATGAATACATGAATAAATAATCACAATATGCGATTAAAATATATAAATTAACAAATACAGTCAGAAAAACAAAAATAAAAGAAACAGTATTTTATACTTTGTAACAAAATCCCTTAAAAACCTATGATTTTGTATAAATTAACTTACTTCAAATAAATATAAAACATAATAAATTAAGATTAAAATATATAAATTAACAAATACAGTCAGAAAAATATTTCAGTATATAGATAATTAAAATTTAAAATAGAAACTTTTTAGAAAATTAAAGATTTTTTTTCGTAGAAGAAGAATAAGATTGAGATAAAAGAGGAAATTCGCCGGTCTAGGCGATGAGTTCCGCTTTGTCGGCCTTCATCTTCGACTCCATTCCCGACACCACCTTCCCAAACACTACATTGTCTCCCGTCCAAGTTCCAACATAAGCATATTGCATATTCCCATTCTACAGGCACGGATTATATATATGTATATATAGTGTGCGTATATATAGTGCGCGTCATCTACATTCCAAATTTAAAAAAAAAATGCAGCCAAGCCAAATATCTGTATCTACAAACCCATGTCTATATATATATAATCCAACCCCAATCCTGATCCTAATGCATAATTCATCCCTACACATACAGAACCACAAAGACAAAGCACATTGGGATTCATATTGGTGTATTTGATTCTGAAAAATTCCGTACTCACCAGCTGGTTGTTACCATTGTGATGAAAGACTTGGCGTCTTTGTCGGCCTTTGCCATTGATACCAAGTCCTTGGGAAATAGAGGTATACAGTGAGTAAGCCAACCCACTGGGTAAAGCCCCTGAAGAAATTGAAATCAGTATCGAGAAAGAGCTACATGTCCCCGTATGCCTGATCTTGAGGTATTCACCACAAAAAGTCTCGCCATAAACAGATTCTTTGACCATTTCGTTCCCATGGGTTTCTACTGTGATGGAGAGGTTTCTACTGTTACAAATCCTGTGGAATATGCTCCCCATGTAATGGAGAGGTTTCTACTGTTACCAATCCCTATCTCCCCTGAGATAAATAGAGCAGACAGTATATGAAACCTTGAATGTGAAAGACATGTAAAGATATAAAGATTGCAGAACATCAGATATGGAAGCTCTTTGGTTGGTTACCTGCGCGCCAAGCCCAGAAATCCTCCGCAGGCGCGCAACCAACAATCAACAGCACATAAAACATGTTAAGCATACCAGCAGTTTTGGGGACTGTATTGCAAAAGAGACCCATAACAATTCAACCTGGGTGAAAACCATTGGAGTCAATGACATAAGAATCGCTCGAAATATGAGGACAAAAGTTAAAACACCCAGAAAGCATATCATCCAATGAATCCTACAGCAAAAGACCTGAAAGACTCGTCATGTACCGCAAACTTATATCAGGACCAAGATCGTACCAGCTCTCAATATCGAAATAAACCTTGTGGGAAAATTCCATCAAATTCACCTTGGATTTCTTAGCCTGAAACCCAAAACCCGCCATTCAAAAATGGTTTGTAAGAACATTATCCTCTCATCAGGATATTATTCCATGTTATAAGACCCTCACGTCTCTTAATGAATCTGTATGATTTATTAGGGGAATCCATACAGTAAATAGTGTTTGAGAATGCACGGCCAAACCATCAACAATGTAATTATAATCGATATCGTCTCCTTCTCTCTGCAAATCTAAACTACAATAAATTACAATTTACAATCAGAGAACATCACCACTTGAGAATTCACAAAAAATCTGGATGTTTCATGTCATGAAGCTCTCACGTTTGACAATCGGACGTGAAAGGTTGACTTATGAGTCACACTTTTTAATCACAAGGACGACGATAATTCGCAAAGAACATATTAGGGTTTTTCCCTTAAGATAAACAACGAAACATTACAGGACACAGCAGCAAAACACCAAGGTCACACGCACCGGAAAACGATTCAAAATTACCTCAACGCCTAGTCTCCGAATCGGCTCAAATTCATAACGTGATCAACCGTAGCCGATCAATGGCCTTAAGCTCGTTTCGCTATGGCCAATCAAACCGCGCAGAAAAACAGAAGATACAAGGACAAGGGAAACAAAAAAATTTACCTGAATTAGGGTTAGGGTTAGAGCTCCGAGAAGAAGAAAGCTGCATAATAGCAGCGCCACCAACCTCGCCATCTCGCTCGCACTCAGAGCGCGAGCATTTTCCCGTGGCCTTTTCATCTCCCCTCGCGCGCTCTCCCATATAACGGAAGCAAGCCAATCAGTTTCTGCCACGTGGTGAAGTCTTAGTATGGGCCTACGCTTACAAGGTCCTTCCAAAGCTGGAAATTAATGGGCCCTCATCTGGGCTCAGTAGTCCTATTCAGCTAGATTCGCATTAAAATTAATTTTTTAGGTAATTGTTTATTTTTTTTCTATAAATAATTATTTATTCTCGTAAGAAAATCCTTAATAAAAAGTCCAAATTGGGTAAGACAAATATGTTGTTTTTTTTTTAGCAAAACGCGTTAAACATTTTTTTTTTGGTTAAAGATAGTTGTCAGCAACCATCCACGACGGATGCTTTCTCACGTATAATATTTAATTTGTTAAGGTAACCGTCCATCAATATGAACAAATTCGAAACATAGAATAATTTCAATTAATGGAACCTAAATAGTCATAAAATTATTCCGCTTGGACCACAATATATACATATCATTGTCATAAAAAAAATTAAAAAACACCGTCAACGGATTACAACAAATGGTGGTGATGAATAATAAATAACCCCATTAAGTGTTAACAAAAAATAACAAACCCATCTGTACGAGATTATGGATTGTGTATTCGATTCTTTCTAACGTCTGAATTTTTGTTGAATCGTTCAGCTTCAACTAATTTATCTGTTCTGTATGGTTTGTCGACTATTGTACATAATCAGAGGTTTATTGTCCGATATCCGACTCGAAAGACTGTGTGATGGTTTTCCACGTTAACAAAAAAAAACCATAACGTGTTAACATATGCTAATCGCATTCCAAACTCTATTTTTTGATGTATGGAGTTGGAATAAACTAAAGTGTTGTGATCTCTTTCAAACCATAAAAGCGAAAAGGTAAAATCTTTGATGAAGAGACAAAACAAAACTCAACCATAGAGAGTGGCCCCCACCCACCATGACGTGGAACACAACAAAACAGATTAACAAAAGACTTTTTGTGTGTGTGTGTGTGTTCAGACATGACTTAGATGAGATCTTTCTTTTGCTCTCTTTTTTTTTAAAAAAAAATTAAAAAACAAATTAATCAGTTAAACGGTGGCCGATGTTCGTTTAAAATCCATTTTTCACTGGAAATTGACCCTTTGTTTTCTATTTTTAGGGAGATTCAATAAACAGGGCTTTTTTCTTTTTGAGGATTGTTTCTGAAGACAAAAGTGATGGAGGTTTCTTCTCTTGATAAGATTTGGTCAAAATTTGATGGAAGTTTTGAAACGCTTCTAGAAAAAATTGCTATTACAAAAACCAGGATTATACATAATATATATATATATATATTATATCTGTATGTATGTATGTATGCGTGTGTGTATGCACCACGAGAGCTGTCACCTTTTAACATTCCTCGATCTGAACAAGACGGTACCTGAAGAACCCGTTAAAGAAAAATACCAAACGAGAACGGGACGATACGTGCAGATAGAGAGAGAGAGAGAGGGATGGGGAGTTACAGGATGTGTCTGTTCTTCACGAGGAAGTTCAGGGTGACGGAGGCGGGCCCGGCGGATGACGTCAGAGAGGCGTTCGATAAGTACGCCGAGGGTGGGGCCTACATGTCGCCGGAGCAGCTCCGGCGGTTCCTGTCGGAGGGGCAGGGAGAAAGCTGCGGCGGAGCGGAGGAGGAGAAGATCGTCGACGAGGTGCTTCGCCGGAGGCACCACATTGCCAAGTTCACGAGGCGATCCCTCACCCTCGACGACTTCAACTATTTTATCTTCTCCACTGAGCTCAATCCGCCGATCGGTGATCAGGTGAACTCGGCTGGTCAACTCTTGTTTGTTTCCCTGGAAAATGCGAGAAAGTGGGTCAAAGCTGGCCTTTTTTTTTTGCAATCTGGGTGCTGTTTGTTTGCTGGCATTTCGTTTTCCTGCTTTGTTCTTGACTGGATCGTCATGCAAATCTAACTACTTTCGCATGCCCTCCGGTTGATTTCGCCGGAATATGTCGGAAATTTAGGGTTTTGGCTCCTGATTTTGTTGCAAAAGAAGAGATCTCCGACCTAAACTTTGATTGATTACTGTATATGGCAAGCTCCTTTTTCGCTAGTTGTATTTAAAGTTAAAAACTTTGACCTTTTTAACTTCGGTTTTATCAACTTGTCAAGAGATGAACACACGGGGAAATGGATGAACTGGAACTTTGGATTCTGAATTTTGGGTCTTTTTACTGCCGTTTCCAAATCTCACTTTTCCAAAAGAAAATTGAAAACTCCCCTTTTGGGCAATGAAAAGGTAAACACTTTTCTTTTGGGTTGTCGTCTGAGGATCTTTCTGTTCCAACTGTAAATCTGAGTTACCATAAAAGTGGCAAAGGTCTGAGAATCAGTTGCAGGTTCTTGGTTATGGTTAAAGCTAAGTGTATTCAGTGTTGTTCGTATATTCATGAAAAGCTGTAATCAACATTCAGGTTCATCATGATATGAAAGCTCCACTATCACATTACTTTATATACACTGGCCACAATTCCTACTTGACCGGAAACCAGCTCAGTAGCAACTGCAGTGATCTTCCGGTTGTGAAGGCCTTGAGACGAGGCGTGAGGGTGGTCGAGTTAGATCTCTGGCCCCGTGGGAAAGACGATGTCTGTGTCAAACATGGAAGGTATTTCATTCGAAACCGTTCTTGCTCAATGAATATGTCTTGTTTCCTTATCTCGGATTGTGTTCTGAAATATATGCAGGACATTGACTAAGCCTGTAAAGTTGGGAAAGTGTTTGGAATCAATTAAAGCACATTCCTTTGCCACTTCCAAGTATCCTGTCATAATCACTCTTGAAGACCATCTCACACCAAGACTTCAATCTAAAGTTGCCAAGGTTAATCCTTCTTTGCTCCCTTTATGTCCGTAAATCTTTGACTGCAGTGTTTTGTTTGTGAGTGGAAGTTTTCTTCAATGGATACAAATTTACTGCTTCTGCAGATGATAACTCAAACATTTGGAGACATGTTATATTACCATGATCCTGAAAGTTCGGAAGAATTTCCCTCCCCAGAAGAACTGAAGGGCAAGATCCTAATATCGACAAAACCTCCAAAAGAGTACTTAGAAGCCAACGATGCAAAGGAAAAAGACAATGGAGAGAAGGGAAAGGATTCGGATGAGGATGTTTGGGGGAAGGAGCCATCGGAACTTACTTCGACGCAATCTGATATCGAAAAGGTTTGTTATCTGTGCGGTAGGGGTGGGCACGGGTCGGATACCCGGGAAAATCGAGAGATTTGGATTCGGATCCGGGAGGCTCGGGTATTTAACTATGAGATTTGTATTCGGGATTTGGTATTTACGAGTATCCGGGGTACGGGTATCCGGAATAATAGTCGGGTACTCGCGGATATCCGGATCCGGATTTATTTAAGAAAAACAACAATATTCATATATAAAATTTTTAAAACATGAAGATATATTTATAAAAATTGATGAATTATGATAAAATATATAAGACAAAAGAGATAATAAGAGACAAATAATAATAAATTTAATTTTTTTGAATTAATATTAAAAAAATATGAAATTATTTCATCTAAAATAATTGTATTTTATAAAAATGTTATATAAATATAAGATATAATTATTTATAATTATAATACGCGGGTACCCGCGGATATCCGGTTTTAAAAATTCTATTATCCGGATTTGGATCCGGATTCACGGGTATTGAAAAATAAGGATTTGGATTCGGATTTGAAAATTACGAGTACCCTAAAATCGGGTATCCGTGAGACGAGTATCCGACGGATACCCGATTTTCGGGTATTTGTGCCCAGCCCTACTGTGCGGTGTATGAATCAAAGAAAACTACCAAATACCAATTCAAAGCAACTAATCTCAGCATCAAGTAAGTTTTTTGAAACTTATTTTGCTCAAACTATGCCTTCTTCTGGTATTTTGGTTTCAGGTTTCTAACAATATAACGGAAACCAATCAAGACGATGAAGACAAGGAGGTGTGCGAGTTTGAGATGTCGGGCCCGTTGACAGCACCTGAGTACAGACGGCTTATCGCCATTCATGCTGGGAAACCAAAGGGTGGGCTAAGAAAGGCGTTAAAGTTCGATCCTAATAGAATCCGACGGCTTAGTTTGAGCGAGCAATCACTTGAGAAAGCTGTAGCATCATATGGTACAGATGTTAACAGGTACTTGTCTTATGTTCAAGTGTTGAAAAAGATGTAAATGGGCTACTAGTGTTTTGCTTCTAGTTCTGAAGCTAATCAGTGATTAATACTCACGATGAACAGATTCACCCAGAAGAATTTTTTGAGAATATATCCAAAAGGTACACGGTTTAATTCTTCCAACTATAAACCGCAGATTGGTTGGATGCACGGTGCTCAAATGATTGCTTTCAACATGCAGGTTTGCCCTCTAATCTTTATTCCTCTGTTCCAAGTCATGCTAGCACCGTTATCATCGGGATTTTTGCCATTCTTCTCGCCCTATAATAAGATAAAAATTATCGGGTTGATGATTGTCCTATTTGAGTTTATAGTCTGTGGTTACTCCAGACAGCTGACAAAGTAATAACTGCAGGGATATGGCAGAGCACTGTGGCTGATGCATGGGATGTTTAGAGCAAATGGAGGGTGTGGTTACGTAAAAAAGCCGGATTTTCTGATGAAGGCAGGTCCAAGTGGTGAAGTATTTGATTCGACGGTGAAGAAAACATTGAAGGTGTGTTAAAGCTGATACCTTTGCAAGAATCCGTCGATTCCCTTTTTCCCTCTATGCTCCGACTTTCTTGCTCAAAGATGTAACATTGATTCAGGTGAAAGTCTGTATGGGAGACGGGTGGCAAGTGGACTTCAAACTGACGCATTTCGATCTGTATTCTCCTCCGGACTTCTACGTCAAAGTACATTGATCCATCTTTCAATCATTTTCTGATAAATTGTTTCAGCCTGAATGGATGGAAAGTTTTGATTTTTGGTATAATACATGTTAAATGTGCAGGTGGGTATTGCTGGAGCACCTGCAGATGAGGTGATGGCGAAAACGAAAATAAAGTTCAATAACTGGACGCCTGTTTGGAACGAAGAATTCACGTTCCCGTTAACGGCTCCCGAGCTTGCTCTGCTCCGAGTAGAAGTGCACGAGTACGATACGTCTGAGAAGGATGACTTTGGCGGGCAGACATGTCTACCAGTGTCTGAACTGAGACAGGGCTTGCGTGCTGTTCCACTCTTTGACCAAAAGGGCGAGAAGTACAGCTCCACCCGTCTTCTCTTGCGCTTTGAATTCGTCTGATGGTTATACATGCGTCTTTTGTTCTTCATGCTATATCTTGTAGCACTTGTTTAGTTGATTTTTTTTTTCCCAATAGAGATCTTCCTTTTATCGAGGAATCAAATCGAAATCGACCCTTTATCGATTTCTTAGTTTTCCTTATGGGTTTTTCGTTCTTGGTAACTATCAGAAGAAGGTTCTTCTCCATTTTAAAATCTCTAGAAATATGGTTTGACTGGACACAGAATTAATCTGATCGTGAAAAATAGATGTATATATAAAGTGTAATAATACGAATAAATAAGGAAAATCACAATGTTATTGAGATGTGGAAACACTCTTGTCAGTCACTTTCCAACTTTAGTAATATCAATCCTTTTAAGCACAATACGAATAAAAGATGTCATGGAAAAATCCTTCAAACGAAAGATATCTGTATAGACAGGAAAAAGGAAGGGCTCTTCACATCAAAGCAGCTCCATGGCTTGGTCTTGTCAGAGTTCTGCTGACGATATCTCTCAACTCGATCTCACCCGGGAATCTTCCCTCTTTCAACTTTGAAAACACCTGACAAAACCCCAAACATTTGCATCAATTTATCACATGGAAGCTCGCTGTTACGGCCATATAACAGATAAGATCCGTAAGAAAAACTGATTCTTGAATCAGTAATCCGACGAATTCTAAAGAACAAAGGCAGGGTGAAATCAAGATGCTGACGAAGAAACAAGGCACGCCATGAGAGAAAGAATACTTAACTTACCAGTTCCCCGTTGCAGTAAACCTCAAAGGCGCCGGAGCTTTGCAGGAAAGACTGCAGAAAGTTGCCGAGAAGCCAAGTGGAAGCCATTGACCCGAACCTATTTGCCCTCAAGGAGTAGTACCAAGCAGGGGGCTGAGTCACTCCAAGCATGGGAAAGATGTGTTCACCTGCAACTATGATACCGATAACACCCATCTGAACAACAGGCACAACTTTAGCAAGAAGCCGTTTTGGTGCTGGTGGCGGATAGTTGGCCAGAATCACATCCAATCCTGGAAAAGCTGTCTCCAGCATTTTCTTCATTGTTACTGCAGTCCCCCTGGCATTCAAAATCATATCAATGAAACCCTCTGTGAATTCGCAGATCATCATCACCAGATAAATAATCTCTCAGTTACAGGTTACGCTTTTCCAAAGAGTACCAAAAGTTAGCATAAAGAAACACTGATTGATGGAAGCCAAGAGTTTGATATTTCCACAGCTAAGAATCAGTTTCAGAGGAATCCCGCGAATACCAGAAAGTGACAATGTGTGCTATTAATCCACAGAAGACGAGAAACGGTTATGTACAGATTTGAGGGAGAATTCACAGAAAACCAAAGAAGCGTCAGAGATTTAGCATTAGCCTATAAGAAAACAGAAATCAGGGAATCAATCTACCAAGAGAAATTCGGAAATTTTCAAAAGAAGACAGGCATATACTCATAGATGGTGGAAGCGAGAATCTTATACATTCAGAAACACTGCCTCTAGAATCAGCCCTGGAGAGAATTCCCAGGAATTAAGACGTCTAACATTGATCTACGATAAGTAAAAAGATTTGATATGTAATCAAATCAAACAACACTCAAGCAAAAGATCAAATCCAAAACAGTCACACGAAAATAAATGAAAACCTACTTGAACGAGCAGGAGACGCAGAAGTTGATCTCAACGGTGTTCCCATATCCGACAGCTCCGATACCACTTGACTTCTGCAAAAAAAAAAAAAGATCGATCGAAGAGCGATGAACAGGAGATAAGACGAAATCGAAGTGGGACATCGGAATCTTGGAGAAAATTTTACCTGTCCAGGGAAATGCCCCCCGCCGGTCGCTGCGAGTGAGAGATAGGCGGTGGCTGGTGATGGCGATGGTGATGAGGTTTCTGCGGCGGAGGCGGAGTGAAAAGGCTCACCAGATCCGAGCAGAATAGTAATAACGGTAGCCCCAACAACACCAACTGTGCCCTATCCATGGCGGAATCAAACCTCGGAGAGAGAAACACGAGGGAAGGAGTCGCAGGGGAGGGGATTACAGAAGAAGAACAAAGTGAAACAATGAGCCTTGTTTGGCTTCCGGGACATGTATATCCTGGTCTTCTTTTAATCTGTTAAATATTAGAGGGGGTAAATCACAGAGATATACCAAATGTCGCAGTAATTTCAGGGATACACCCCAAAAAAACATAACACATTAATTTTTTTTGAAAAGACCGTAATACCTTTAATGAAATCGTGTAATTGTAATTGCAATGTCGCAATTGATTCTAAATACAGTTGTAATTGATTCTAAATACAGTTGCAATTGATTCTAAATGAAGTTGCAAAAAATATATCTTATTAGTTATACGATTTTTAGTTGTTATATGGTCATAAATACTTCTTTTTTTAGTCGTATATTAGCTATATAACAGTTGTAATAAAGTCGTAAAAAATATAGAAAAAATGTTATTTCAGATTTTTTGAGTAAAAAATGGTATAAAATTGAAATAAAAAAAATTACTGTTCATCTTGGGTGTATCTGTGAAATTCATGCGACACATTTGGTATATTTAAGTGAATTACCCTATTAGAGGGTGTGATCTATATTTTCGTCTTAAAATACTAAAATGTCCTTGAATATAGTATCAAAATATTAAAAAAGTATTTTTTTTTTATATTAAAATAAAGTAAAATAATTTTTGGTCTGTTATGGATTTTATTGTATATAAATATGAATTTTTTTGTAACATAAATGTATTTTGGTTTTATTTTAAAATCATAACAAAATCAGAATGTTATAGAAAACGACATTTATTGTAAAATACAGTTAAATTGGAAACGGTATTTAGGGTTGCATATATAAAATATGTAACTGTTTTGTGAATCGTCAACCCATATGATTGGACGGCAGTACTTTTAATTGTTGGGCCAATACTGTTTCGATCAAATGATATGATTATTGGGTGAGGCCCATGAAGTCCATTGATTTTGGAATCCACAAACGCCCACTCTCAACACGCGCGTTACTCTCCCGCTCCTATATTGAGTGGTTGGGCGCGTGGGAACGGTTTTAGACGGGAATATTACTCAAATAACTCACTTGGATCGCAGTAATTTCAGTGTACACCACCAAATTTTTTTTTTTCAATTTTAACCCACTTTTCGGTTGAAAAAGTCTGAAATACCCTTTTCGTTTTATTTTTTGCGACCTTATTACGACTAACATATAACTGATATATAACTAGAATAAGACAGATGATTTTTTTGCCATCTTTTTTAGAATCAATTGTAACTATATTTAGAATTAATTACGAAGTCGTAATAACGAAGTTGTTTTCGAACGGATAAAAATCGCGTATTCATTAAGGGTAATTTCGTCTTTTCAACAAAAAAAAAGTGTTATGTTTTTTCTGCGACCCAAGTGGATCATTTGAGTAAAATTCCCGTTTTAGACCCGTTCGAAAACAACTTCGTTATTACGACTTCGTAATTAATTCTAAATATAGTTACAATTGATTCTAAAAAAGATGGCAAAAAAATCATCTGTCTTATTCTAGTTATATATCAGTTATATGTTAGTCGTAATAAGGTCGCAAAAAATAAAACGAAAAGGGTATTTCAGACTTTTTATACACATGCACATACACATACACATACACATACACATAATGGTCGGGGGTTGTATTCTGCAGGTTCTTGAAATAAGAGGGGACAAAGCGAGAGTAATAAGTAGCAAAAGAGACAGATTTCATGAACTACAAGTCGCAGATTACGTATAAAAGCTTGAAAGAGTCTCAGATTTGTATTTTTCAAAGATGTAAACTTTACGGTCCGTATAATTAAAACATGATGGCGGCTCGAGAGACTCCGACAAGATGTTGTTTCGTATGTGTAAAAAGTGTCCATGTCATGTAGAATGATGTCTTATGTGTTCATAATCATAAGCTTCGTTTTGAATCTTCTTCCCAAATTTTGCATGACCATATAATTAACAATTAAAAACAATGAAAAGTTATTATGGTATGTTGTTAATTTTTAGAATAAATTAACAAACTAAAATGTTTTTATATATATTATTTATTTTCAGCCTTTTTCTTTAGGTTATTTTTAATATATTAAAATTGTAGCTATGTTCATTTGGCAATATATCACAAATATCCTTACTTTGCTATTTTGACTTCAAGTTATACTATTCTTCAACTGTGATCCTGTGTGACCCATGTGACCAGAAATTTAATATTGGTCATATTGGTCATAACATTGAATTTATAAATTTTTTATCAAATGATTAGTGAAATATATAAGGTATGAACATAATGAATGAGTGTGATTATTGTAAATTTAACGTTATGGTCAATATGAGCAAGATTAAATTTTTGGTCACATAGATTATAGGGTTACAGTTGGAGAAGGAATTTAATATTGGCCATATTGGTCATAACATTGAATTTATAAATTTTTTATCAAATGATTAGTGAAATATATAAGGTATAAACATAATGAATGAGTGTGATTATCGTAAATTTAATGTTATGGCCAATATGAGGAAGATTAAATTTTTGGTCACATGGATTATAGGGTAACAGTTGGAAATTGGTATACCTAAAGTCAAAATAGTAAAGTAAGGGTATTTTTATAATACCCGTTCATTTATATATGCTTTGTGGGATTAAAAGCCATTGATGCAGGTTATAAAAAAAAACACATTTTCTTCACCTGTATGCATTTGCTTCACCGCACTCTCATCGGGGAATATTACTCAAATAACCCATTTGGGTCGCAGCAATTTCAGTGTACACCACCGAAAAAAAAAATTTTCAATTTTAACCCACTTTTCGGTTGAAAAAGTCTGAAATACCCTTTTCGTTTTATTTTTTGCGACCTTATTACGACTAACATATAACTGATATATAACTAGAATAAGACAGATGATTTTTTTGCCATCTTTTTTAGAATCAATTGTAACTATATTTAGAATTAATTACGAAGTCGTAATAACGAAGTTGTTTTCGAACGGATAAAAATCGCGTATTCATTAAGGGTAATTTCCTCTTTTCACACGAAAAAAAAGTGTTATGTTTTTTCTGGTGTACACGTGTATTATTATTATTATTATTATTATTATTATTATTATTATTATTATTATTATTATTATTATTATTATTATTATTATTATTATTATTATTATTATTATTATTATTATTTTTCCTTCTTTTCGTGACCCATCGATTTTGAGACCACTTTGGGTTAAACGGTTGAAAAAAATCCCATCACACTGCGAGTATATTATGTTGCATTTAATTTAAATATGGCAGTTGCAATTCGGACAGTAATTTGGTGGCGACTTGCTTTTTAATGTTTACATTCACATATTATTTCAAAATTACACTTTTTAGGGTCTCAATTTTGTCCCAAAATCCGGTTCGATCCGGTCGAAAAAATAGCGGGCTTGGCGTAGAGATATTTAGGTCCGAAAATTTTCGGCCTTTTGGAGTGGGTTTAGAGGTTTTCATTCGGTCCGAAAGTCCGATTTTTTTTTTAAAAAATTAATAATTAAAAATCAAAGAGTGAATTTAGCAGACCGGTCCGATCTAAATCCAAATCCGAAGTTTATAGGATTGGATTTTAGATTTAGTTATTTAGACCCGAAAAAAATCAAATCAGTCCGAATCCGAATCCGAGACCCTCAAGCCGAGTATGGATTCAGATCAGGTCGGGTCGACCTGACCGACCCGATTGACAACCCTATTTTTAATTGCTCCACTCGACTCCACCCCACCTTCACTTTTTTACACACTTATATTATCCCTTAGCACTTCAAAGTTATAAAGATTCAGAACACAAAAAATAAAAATAAAGAGATCCCAGAGTATATTCAAAGAAATGGCTCACCAAACGATGGATGATGATGATACTCAGAGAAGAGAATCAATCAAGGAGCAGCAAGAGTTGGCAGAGGCAATTGAAAGAGCAAAGGATGAGGTTGATATGCTTTCTGACAAGGTAATTGCCTTGTCTGCCTCTTTCTCCTCTTCCAATATTATTACTAGACATTGATCCATCATTTTTTTGGCTCCTAATATGATATGATCTGTACAAGCAAACCTTTCTCATGCATTCCAGTTATGTAGCCTCAAGGTATGAGGCTTGAACCCTAGAATGACACTTTTTTTTTGATAATTTGGAAGTTTATCGGACTTTTGACCCGACTATATATCTCCCACCCATGTAAACTTTGCTTGGGTGATTATGAAAGAAAAAGATTGGTCTAACGTCTGTTACCGTTAGGGGTGAGCACAAATCGGATATCTAGAAATTTGAGGGTACCTGAGCCGAATGTCTCAGGTTATATGTTTTATTATCTGATCTTATACCCGTGAAGTCAGGTATCTGAACCCGAAAACCCATGAGATAATTATTGAATACCCGCGAGTACCCGAATCCGAATATTTATAATTATTTTCAATCAATTTTTTAAAATATATTTATACATACATATTCAAAATCATTCAAAATAAATTTAAATTGTATTTATATCTAAAATAAATATATTTTTAAAAAAATACATCATAAATATATCTAAAATATCTATATAATCATTAATATTAAATAAAATAACACAAAATCTAATAAAAAACCTAAATTTAAAAAGATAATTTTTTATTATCTGGGTACTCGTAGGTACCCGTGAGATAATAACAATTATCCGAACCCGAATATTCGGGTATTCTAATATTAATACCCGATCTCATGATCAGATGCAACTTATTGCCACTCATACCCGAATTTGTGGGTATCCGACCCGCGGGTCGGGTCGAATACTCAAAATTCGGGATTTTTCCCCACCCCTAGTTAATGCACGCGGTTGACCTAAAATCGAGACAAGGAGGCGTGAAGTTATCAGACGAACGGTGGTGTGTAGAATGATACCCTTTATAAATCCGACCATGCGGCCAAGTGAGGATTTTTTTTTTTTTTTTGGGTTCTGAAACCAACTAGTCTATGAAACAATGCAAAACACACTACCCCCTATTATAACACCATGTAATTGTTAAAAAAACAACAACTAGTCGTGATAGTAGCCAATACTTTGTTAGGTAAGTAAGTTAGTAGAGAAATAACTACTAAGCCTATTCCTAAAGGAAAAACCCTGGTGGAATCTTAGATGAGACTAATTATTGACAGTTGTTCTTCAGGTTGTTGTATTGGAGAGAAATGTCCATGGAGGAACCAAGGCTGAAGACAGAGAATTCATGGTGTTGATAGAGTTGCTAATGACCCAACTACTTGAACTAGATCAGATTGAAACTGATGGAGAGGCAAAAGTTCAGAGAAAGAACGAGGTAGCGGTGGGATCACTTACCGAAATTTCAGTTGTGATCATCTGTTTTTGCTCTTCTCCACTTTAAAACAACGAGAAATGTCTGTCCCTTTGTTCGGGTTACTGGTCTGCCGCGTCCAGGTATTCATCGAAACATTGGATGACCTGAGGGCAAGAAACCATGAGATCCTCCGTAGTGCAACACCAGTGAGAATCAAGCAGGAGTTGCCATTGCTAGGTTTTGGAAGCTTTGCTCCAAAGCCTTCAACTGTCATTACTCAACATTGGAAACTGTTTGATTGAAGATACTAGACAAAAATCTCACGCTTTACAGGTTACTCGAACATAGATTGCATCTGAAACATTATACATGCGTAAACAAAATGAAGATAGTCACCAATGCTTGAGAAGAAAGCTATAATTTCATTTCAATGTATATCTATTTGGATCTCGTGGATCTTAAGCCACTGAGATTAATATAATATGAACCCTCAAGGACTTTGCAAATCGATAGAAACCTAGCGTATGATTTATACTCGTCTGGAGCAGTCAGTTACTTTCATGTCTAATGTTTGATATAAACCTGTGATATTCAGACTCAGTCTTCTTTCAGGTTCTCTCTGATTGTGCCGTGTGAATCCTTACCTGCAATACCAGGCGATCCACTTGGCAACCGGTTTGCGCTTGTGGAATTTAAAGGAGAATATGGGGAATTAGGGCTGCCTCGTGAGTACCGGTTCTGTGCAGCTGTTGTGCTTCTGGTAGCCTTTGCGCGAGCCTTTCTGCCCTGTTGGGTAATTTTTCAAAGTGAATAAGGAACTGGCGGCTCATGAGACTAGAAACCAAAAAAAAATGTTGAGATAATATAATAATCAATAGTTCACCTTCCCCATGCACTTTTCCAAATGAGGAGCAAACCTTCCAGCAACAATTTGCCGTCCACAGTTCATGCAGTTGAATACTTCACTGGCTACAGGAGGGTGGGTCTGCCCAAATATGTCAACAACATACTTGGCATTGGTTTCAGCATTGTTGCTAGGATCAGCAATCTTAGCACATGCTTGTGCTGACAACCTAAACTCTTCTTCTGCCGCCTCCATATCACGATCAAGCCCCAGTCTGGCTATCCGGTGACACTCAGATGCCACATCGGCAATTGCAGAGTCCACGAGATCCAAGAAAATCTGAGAAGAAAGCTGCAAACAGGACTCAACAGCAAGAAGAAAGATAACTCAAGGCATAGTTTTCCATGAAGAAGTAAACTCCGAAAAGGCTGAGAAATCCCGTACAAGGAGGAAGCTTCAGTAACTTTTGAAAAGTTTACTCTCTTGATTCACATAGACGCCTACAGTTACTGGCCCAATTTCTCTCATTGTCCCTCCGACTACTCCGAAACCTTATCAAGCCTCTCCCGTTGTTCGATTCAACAATGCAACATATATCAGTAGCTAAACTATTTGATCTTTGCTTATCCAACGAAGTTGTTCAAACCCATATCATGGGAGAAATTAGAAGATCAAAGCACAGGGCAACATAAGATAAGGCAGAAGAGAAGGGAGCAGACTACATGACGGCTGAGATTCTATGAGCTGGTTCATGATCCTATGGCTACACTGAGTAAAGATTTTAGTTAGATTGAATAGCAACTCTGTACGCGAGAATCAAGAATGCATTATGAGATGAGATGGAATTAAGAAATACCTGAGTATAAGAAGATGAATCAGGCTCTTTTGCCCCAGACATGGAATCCAATTAATCGGGTGCCCTGAAGATATATCCTGAAAATGCCGCAAAAACTTCCGTAAGAAAATGGAACCTGAGAGGAAGACTAAATAAAGACGGAAAAAGACAATGAAGCGGAATTCCGAAGATTAATGCGATGGGAACGCAACCGCAGAAAATCTGGATTCAGTTGAAGATTTCGTTCTGATCATGAACCCTAAAATTCGAATTTCTGGGGAAAATCAAGAACTAGAAACCCAAATTCAAAACCAAAGATCAATCACTCCATCCCTTGGTCGCCTAAGGCCAATCGTAAGCTTCTTAACAGAAATCGCACATACATATATACACACACACACACACAAACACCCATATACTCTGTCGACATACACAAATTCAAAAACAAAACTCCATTGCAAAAAAAAAACATAGAAACTAGAAAGCTTACACAGACAGTCCAATCGGAGCAATGATCGGAGCTAGGGGGAGAGTCCTCACTCCAAAGAACCGGCCAACCAAAAAAGCCGCGGATTTACGAAACGGCGAGCGTTTCAAGGGGAAAACAGTAGAACGGCGTGGTGTTCGTTTTGAACGAGGGAATGATCCGTGGTAGTTTGGGCTGAAGAGAAAGAAAGGCCCATCTTATGAAGGCCCATTACAAAGAAAGGTCTTGGGGGTAGGTAATATTACTAATATAGTGTGCGGATGATCCAAACAATGATTGTGAGAAGGAATTCACTCAATGTCAACTCTTACGAAATTATTTGTATCGAAATATATACCCGTTATTTCCGTTAGAATGACGTTTCATTATCGCGAATTTGAATACTAGACCAAAATACTAAACTATAACCCAAATACTCTAAGAATCTAATCCAATCGGAATAAATCGACTAGTATACTTGGTTGATAGGAGTGGTCGTCGGGAGAAAAGATGCGATTTAATTGCAACAAAACTATTTTTCGGATGAATATAGTTGTATCAAATATCCAGCGAAACAAATTGAATTAAAAAAAAAACTCATACAATCACTCTAGTCAAGAATTAAAGGCAAAAGCATAAACTTTGGTGGTGTGGTGCCTTTAATCAAGAGGACCAGCCCGCTTTCCCACAACGTCCATCCATTATTCAGTTCCTAACACTCTCAAAGCAAGTGCATTGTTACAATGCCAACATTTTTTTCCTAATACAACAACAACAACAACAGGGATTTCACAAAAATACATTCGCCTTATCGAATTGAACCAGGCGGGATTTTATGAAGGGACAGAAGGCAACAACACTAGAAGACGAGGGTGCCCACCAAGGCAGATGTTAAGGGAACGGTGAGGTTATCGTCTATCTCCGAGCTTATGGGGATTGATTCTACTAAAGCCGCCACAGTCGATACTATCAAGAAACGAAGGATCATTCCTCCGCTATCCTCTATGTAGCCGAAGGAAGCAAAGTAGTACATGTACCTGTCACAAGTTTCCCTTTTGTCAACACGCACCAGCAACTGACTCTATGGCCATGTAGTTAATGCCGAGAGAGAGAGAGAAGACTTACCCAACCGAAGCTAAAAACCCTGCTGCTGCCATCGCAATGCTACCAGCTACCGATTTGTTTCTGTTGTAAGGAAGCTTCTCAGTTCCAAGCCTCCTTCCCACAATGTCAGCCATACCTATTATGGTTTCGACATGTTTATCGCATCAAGATTCAAGAATTGAAACACATTTAATGAATTCCAAAGGCCAATACACAAGTTTCCGGAATAAGAGAAGCCACTTCGAATGGATCAACTAACTGTACCATCTCCTGCACAAAGGTTGCATATCACTGCAATCGCAATTGGGGATGTCCTCCAATAGAATGCGCAAGATAAAGTGATTGCTAATGCATAATAGAGTGGCCCCTTAAGCAGTTCCCTGTTGCAGAAAGCATCTACAAAAATTTGTGAAGTGACTAAGAAGCAAAGATACAAAAGAGTAACCAATTATTGATAATAGAAACTAGGATTGACGAGAAATGGTCAAACACTAAGCGTATAACGTGTGTTTGTTTATACAAAATTCAGCTACCTGCGGTCACCATATCTGCTCATTGACTTGATCGTTCCTTCATCGTGGTATACTCCAAGACCCAGTAGCAGCGTCCGTATAATATTACCTCCAGGGACAAGAGAAGCTAAAACTGCCCCGCGAAGTCCAGAGCTGAAAATGATTTCTATCGGTCAAGCGGATGAGAAAACATTGTCAGAAAAAAACACGTGTCTTCACAGCAGCATTACCTGAAGAGTGGCCAGCAAAGCATAAAAACTGGCCCGACGCTTACATGCACAAGCTTCCGGACGAGTTTCTGAAAACAAGATAAGATGTGAAATACTTCAAGAGGCCTAAGTTGCACACCGACATCGCACAAGTCAGAAAATGAAGTTTCACAATCGCAGAGGCTAAACCAAAGTCTGACACAAAGAAACAAAGAAGATCTGCCACTTGGGTTTCAATCAGAAAGGCCTCCCATACCATTTGTTATCCTATACTCCCAGTTCATTGCATTGGCATATATGCAATCATATATGCCGAGTTGACTGCCTTCTCATCCTACTCAGCCATTCCAGTTTGATCAATCAAACTTTTAGAGCAAGTGAGTAACGTATTTAGTTGCAAGACGCTTCAAGAACCTAATTTATGTTTCTCTCTACCTATGAAATCTCAATGAAAAAACCACTTGATAAAGAGAATATGCCAAAGTCCAAAGTCCAACATCTACCAATTAAAACAAACAAAGACATGCGAAAAAGACCACACATTCGTGGAGGAATGGACCAAATCTAGAGACTAGCTTCATGGTTGCTTGATACGGTACTAAGTCAAGCAGATGCAGATGCAGATACAGCCATGGAAACTGCGCCATTTAGATTCAGAGCACAGTTGACTTTTCAGGAAACAGTAATTATTTGATGATAGCCGCAGATTTCGGCAAAAAATCTCCACTAAATTCGGTTTCTTATCAGATGCAACTTATTGCCACTCTTGTTTCCTGATCAGTAAATACATTTTAATCCAAGTTTCCCTTCCCGTCACAAAAAGCTCTGCAACAGTGTTCTAACCAAATGCCTCTGTTCACCTTAAACTCAACTAAACTGGGACCTCTGCCGTCGCCATTAATGCCATTACCAAATTCAGCCCAGACAAGCCAAAGAAAATCAAAATTAGAAAAAATGCTTCAACAGGAAATTGCGGATTCCAACAGAAACCTCAGACTATACACGCCTGTGTATTCGTGCGAACGTATAGTGTACGTATAGGCGTATGTATGCGAACCGAATTCCGGACCTGGTCGAAGATGCCGCGCTTGCCGAACTCCCCCCAGAAGCGGAGGCAGGCAAAGGCGATGACGGTAGTGATTCCAGAGGCGCAGACATCTGATAGAACCGGATTATCCGGAAACATAACGGCGAGGGATGGCGTTAGGCTCCGGCGAGAAATCCGGGAGGTGGTCAGGGGAAATCTGGCGCGAAAGGTACACCGAGTGGCGAAATGAAGGGGCAGAGAGGGAACAATGGGAGAGGGGAAGCGAGGGAGGGAGAGAGACGATGAGTCAACAAAAGGAGATGGAAGCAGAGAGAGAGAGTATACGGAGAGCTTTGTAGCCATGTGAGCCTGTTTTGCTCGTTCACGGTTGGTTGCCGACTTGTCGTTGCAGATATAAATTATAATTTGGTTGTTGATGGAGAATCGCGATGATTTCATTCTAGATAATACCAACACTTCGGAAATTGTAAATGTTAATGATGATGATGATGATGATAATAATGATGATGATGATGATGATAATAATATTAATTGGAGCAGATGGACTTAATTAAGATTTGGTATTAGGTTGACCATTATTATATGTGGGCTCAACCCATTTATTGGGCCGGCGACTTTCCTCGAAAGAGTTTGACCATAGATTATGACAAGAGCGTAATTTTCTTTTTTGATAACATGAAACAATACTTGTAAGTGTGAGGTAGTTCAATTGTATATATACATGTAATAATAATAAAAAATATCACTCTCTCAAATACTTATTGAACTCAGAGTTTCACTAATGTGTCAAATATAAATTTCAATCTCGATATTCCTACAGCTTAACATTCAAAACGATCGCTTAAAAGATCCACCGTTTCTTATTTGTGTATAATATTACTCCACACTCCACAATGAAACAATATTTTCTGTGTCACGCTATGACTTGGAAAGAATCTAGTCGCACGATGTGACAGAAAGTGCAACACGGAGATCATTAGAGGTTCCGGACACGTACATTCTGTGCGTCTCGATTTCTCCTCCTTCGCCAACGCCTTGCCCTCCGCCTCGCTCGCTCGCGTAGTGGTTGCCGTCGCTCGCGCTGTCTCTTTTCGAGAATATGATCTCCCTTAGGATCGGTTCATGGCCGTTGAGAATGTTCCCCATACTCAGCACTTTCCTCCATGACTGGTTGGCCGATGGCTGCGTAAACAGCTTCGACACCACCTGCCTCTCTCTGAATCTCACCTCTTCTTGTCTCACTTCATTGTCCTGAGACCAGACAAAAAAAAGGTCACTTGTAAACCCGGGGTTGTATCTATCCAAGTATTGTTTAGTCACAATTGCACGAGACTTATTCACCCCTCGAACAATGGATCGGGTTCACGCCCCTTTTTTAGTGCTGAAATTATCGTTTTCATTCGTTTCCTTGTTATTTTTCCTGATAGATTCCAATCCTAGGTTGGACGGGGAACCGGGAATCCTAAACCCTGTTAGGGCAGCCCAGTGCACAAAGCAGTGGGAAAGGGTCCCACCGTGTATTGCAAGCAAACCTTACCCTGCATAAAATTCTGCAAGAAACTACTCTCGAACCCGTGACATCCAGGTCACAACAACAAGTCAACCGATGCACCAAGATTCCCCTTCAACCTAAACTTTGTTACCGTAGGAAAAAATCTTTGCTTTTTATTGTTATTTCATCGATAGATCCGATTCCGGGGCTATCAGTTGCACTGCATGTCTCAGCTGAAATTTGAAGGGAGAGTTAGAGAACATCATGAAAGAATGGGGCATTTACCTTCCGGGTCTCGTTCTCTTCCTTTGAGCCCATTCCCATCATAGGAACATAAGAGCTGTAGAAGTCACTAAACATCACTTGAGCAAGGCGTGGTGCTTCGAGGAACTTCCGATGAAGAGATGCCGCGAGTGTGATTAACTTTTCGACATGCCCAAAGACAATGCATAGCCGTTTCAGGTCTTTGATCGTCTCAGCTCTGTCCAGAAGGTTGTTCCCTGCATTCAAATCCAAAATGGAGACGTTGAAAATTCGAAGAGAGAAAAAGTAAAGTTGAAAAAGGCAGAGTTTTTGTACGGATGGAAGCGATAATACGTTGTAGCATCCCAAGGGTAGATTTCATGGTGAAATAGAGTTGCTCCAACTTGGCGGTCATCTGTTTCATGTCTCCATAGTTAGTTTGGTTTAGAGTGTCGGCTGATGCTCTGAAGGCAGAGCAGACCATTTGCTCAAGAAGCTGATGCGGCCGTACTGTTTCCAAGTAATGAAGAATCTGGGACATTCATGGAGATACCCGATGTCAAACACACAAAGTTTATCGACAGAGAAGAGAGAAAATATATCAACTGCCACAAACATAACAGAATGCAATTCACTCTTAAAAAACTAGCTTTTACCAAAAGAAAGCTTATTATACTTTCTATAAGCCGTCAACCAATCCTATAGCTTACAGGATCATACCATTCTAGATGCTCCAGGATTTTCCAGGTTCCGCCCCTTCCACAAGATTAGGACTCCAACATGGGATAAGCTTTGATACTAGTAATAACTTGTATAAATTCAATGCACCCTACTGCTAAACTAATGGATAGAACTCTGCCCATAGAAGCTAACTCTTTGGAGAACAAAGCCCTTGAGACTTGAGAGTGTATTTAATCCTCACCTGATCTCACATTTATTCAATGTGGGGGATTATAACAGAGAACAGTTAGACACAGACCTTTTCTCCTTCTCGGTTCGGGTCTAGAAGGGGTTTTTGGTCATAGGCTGGCAAACTAGGTGCGTCATTCCAAATTTTCCTCCACAGGTTCCCATGCTCAGACATCCGTTGAGAAAGGCGGCCATGAGGAGGCCATTTATCTTGTGAGCATTCCTTCATGGAGCCTATGGATGGACTAGCATCTTTAGGTTCTTGGCTCTCCCAATCTCCGGGTGAGTGCCACCGGATGAAGTCCTCAAACACAGCATTTGGGTTCGCCGCTTTGAATGCTGACATGTCTACAGTCACTTACACAAGATGAGAAAATAGCCGAGGAATGTAATAGATGAGATTTTAAAACTCTGTTGTTGTTGTGATGACCTCAGGTTCAGACTAATCATGTTATGATCAATCGAAGGAGAGTTACCAATGAACCCTCCAATATTATTGCTAGATGATAAAGATCAAATCAAATCTCACCTGACAATAAAATATCTTTCTCTAGCTGGCCAGAAAAGTTCTGCATTTAATAACAAAAATGTGTTCCTCAGTAGACAGTTGGAGAGATAATCGATCAGAAATGTATACACAACATACAATACAGAACATCATTGGGGAGATTTGTATCAAGTTATCAACACTTAAAATAACCTATTCAAGCTACAAGAGCATTTAGCACTAAGCCATCCAATCAGATGCCAAAATCTCTGAGAGAAAGGACAATATTTATGCATTTTTCAAGCAGCAATACACATGCTGAGACTATATAGGTAAGACAAATATATGAACTTGTACTGGCAACAATTTTTTAGCTTACAAGAGAATCACCGAATGCCTCAACAGCCTGAAGTCTTTCTTCATGCATATCTTCAGTCATAAGAGGAGGATCCTGCAATAACTCGGTAATATGGGACCAACTCCTCGAGCGAAAGATTTTGAAGGGACACAAACAAAATAATAAGAAAGTCAACTTGAACACTAACGAGTGTAAACGGGGCATGTAGGCTCTGGTGTGACTTCAGGAGTACCATGGTCCCCACTGGTCCAGCTGAACCCCTCCTAATGCCATTTGCTGGTCTTGATTCCACAGAACTCCTGATCTCAGTTTCTGAATCAAATCCCAAACCATCAACAGTAGCTTCTGTGATTGAGCTGTAAACCAAGCAAAAAGAATTAAAACATGCCTAGGTCAAGAAATCCTTTCTAGGAAGCTTTTAATTATGAGTGTAATAGTGTATCATTTATTAAAAAATGGGAAATGAAAGGAAAAGAAGAAACAAAACAAGTAACTGGAACAATTTGCAATCAGGTTAATTCTTGAGAAGGAGAACCTAAGAGCTCTCACTTGCTTAGTTCACCTGTCAAGTTTCCTCTGTAGCTCTACATCTGCAGATGTATTCATGGTCTTTACAGCAGTGTGGTGATCCTGAAGATTCATTCGAAAATTAAATTTCAAATCAACAGCGCAGGAACCTGTAGGATATATACATGCAACTGGTAACACCGTAAAAGCGCCCCATACAGATTAATACAAGGTAAAGGAAACCAAAAGCAAGAGAGACTGGGGGATACTTACATGGCAACACACGGAAAAGCACCCCATAAGGATTAACACAAGGTAAAAGAAACCTCAAGGAAAACGAAAGAAGAATTACTGGAAATTTCTTTATTTAGTGTTAGCGAAGCAAGGATCCTCTATCGGGTTCGTTTAAGGATGTTGAGACCTTTTATGGGTTGTACTGAGCAAATATATACTTCTGTTGTTCTTCTTGATTGATTAAATAAAATAAGTACTGCTGATACATAAAAATCAATGGAGAAGAAAACAAAAGGTTTATTCAAATACCTCCACAGCACCTTCTGAACTGTCTTCACTTCCTATACAGTCTAAAAACTCTTCGTTCATTTCATGCTTTCTCTCAATGCATATCGAAAGCTACACAAAATTAAAAAGAATGCCATGAAGAGCCTTACATGGCTTTTTTTTTGCAGTAAGATCTAAAAGTACTTTTTGGCATATTCTGCTTATTGACAGTACTAGGGGATTACCAGGTGCAACTTTTGATAGATCAAACATGTGGACAAATCAATAGAACCATCGACTGGCATTTTAGGCAATGGTTGTGACTCTTCCCAACACCAGCGAGCTTCACGGACAAACTCTATCCAGAGAACAGCAATAGCTAGACATGGAAAGAGGGAAAGAAAGGTGTGATACATCCATCAACAAGAAACTCCATTTACTTGGTCTCCGACCATTCAACCTGTGTTGCATATGATGATGTACAGATGAACAAAAACTAGCTTGATCTAGAAGCGCATACCACGGATATTGCAGTTGCCAAACCACATTGAGTGCAAACAGAATTGTGCAAAAAGAGATTCAAGCGGTGCACCCTTAAGTGCTCGAGATAACTTGTGCTCGCCTTTAATAAAATCTGGGAGTTTAGATCCTGCAAGATTAAATAAGAACAGTGAAACTATAGAGCAGATTGATTCTCAGAATGTTTCGATCTATGGGTGTGGGTACCAAATATTCCTGCTTCAAATTTAACCACCATGCCACAATCTTAGAAGGATTTTTTGGGTAGTAAATACAATACCATATGGTCACTCTAATTTTTACCAAGGAAGTTGGTGACAATCGGGATAAGATCCTCCAGCAGATGTAACAGAAGCGGAGGCTTATATTCATGATACCATGGCATGAACATCAAGACATATACATGCATCTATGGGAAAATGCTTATATAAAATTGTGGCCAGAAGAGTACCCTCATGAAAGAGATCTTTAACTACACGATCGAGAACCGTTGGAGGAGGTACGATCATTGCGGTCTTCAAATTTTCAGGACTTGGATTTTCAACTGAAAGATATTCGAAAATATAAACAAAAGCAGGGAACTTCTAAAAAGTCGAGAAATTTGTCCAGCTAATTCAGTGTATGAAAACCAAAGAAGTAATATGGATCAAATTAGAGAAGCCAAATTCCTCGTTTGTGGAATTTTCAAAATGCGATCAAAACGTGGGCAGAAAATTCAAAGCACATAAAACAGTACATACCTGACACAAAATCTTCCATAAACTGAGCTTCAAAAGACATATCCAATGCCTCCACCAAACAGAGGAGTTGAGAAGCAAAATCAATTCTCTTCTCTTGCGAAGGATCATCCCTAATGAAAACAGTTTCTGTTGTTCCAAGAATTGAAAGCAAAAAAACAAAAAAAAAAAACTAACAACGCATGCAACTATGATAACAGCCCTAGACTGAAAAAGAACCACATTCCAAGAAGCATTTCTTACAGATACGGAGAGAAGATTGCACGCAATGCCCACTTCTCAGCTTCATTGGGTGAAGCATTTTCAAGTTCAGCCATCTCAAGTGTGTTTTCTACAGTCCTGTCAGACCATGTGACTACCAATTCAAATCCTGTTCACATCGGCCACCAGGTTAGAAAATGATTTGCTGCGTCACAAACACCAAAGGTAAAAACCACCATATTCTTCAATTATAGACGTGACAATTTCGTCAAATGCCGGTTATTTTCTCCCCTACATTGGAATGCAGTGGCATATAAGACGGACGAGTAATAGAGTTATATAACCCTGAAAATACAAACCAAGCTAACTACTATGTAAGTTTGTGTGGTAAAACAAAAATCCATAAAGGTCATATTATATAGCCCAGAAAGATGCAATTCTTCATACAAGATACCATCATAGTCAAGGAAAACATTAGAAAACTGGAAGTACCTTTAAGTGGATCTTCAGCAGAGTACCATTCACTCCAAGGACAGTCATCATCCCAATGCACCTTGCTACGTGTCTCACCACCATGGGTTTCTGCCGTTTCTGCGTCTTCATCCATAATCCCATCCATATCATTTTCCTCGTCATCCTCATCATAAGGGAAGGATTGGTAGGTCAGCCTCATCATGAAATGAACTCTGAAAATATGCATGGCGAAGTCCACCGAAGAATAAACCTTCAAAAGCATAGTAAGATATGTCACTGTCATGAATAGCAGATGATCATTCAGTTACATGCGAGCACAACCAACATTAGATGGGATCCTGACTGAAGATAGGAAACTACGTTTCCTTTTAATATTAAGTTTGTGATGTGATGTATTCAGTAAACGCTATCTCAAAATGAGAAAACGACAGATGAGAATATCAAGAATAGTTGAACCGCAACCAGCTCTCCATCTTTGAATGTCAGCATTTGGAATGTTTTCATGTTGGCCTAATGAGCAATAGTGCCAAGAAGTTGTTGCTATCATGGAGTATGAGCCTAGAGACTTACAAACTTAGAAACAAACAACTCATATAGTCCTTCCAGATGCATGAGTTTCACCGGGACTTGGCTACCGATACGATCTGCTTCAAATCTTCTGGTAAAAACAGTTCCCATATTTTGGATTCCAATATATGCTTTCCGTGAAGGATCATGGACAGGAACAAATGCTGGCCACAAGCTGCATGCCAAAGTTGCATGAAAATCTCTTGTAAGTAATTCACCCAGAGAAACTCCCTCTTTATTATCTAATGAGCAAAGAGTCTCGTTGATGCTGGGAATAAGACATTTTCATCAACATCAATCTTCAAAGGTATCGGAATTATTTTAGGTGTAACCCAATATCAATTTGATGTTACTGAGGAATAATATATTGTAAGAGCTTTTCCCAATGTGGATAAAGATAAAGTCATGTCACTGGCTTAGACCTTGTACCTGGCACAGTTAGACAAAGCAATAGCAACAGAACTCAAAAGCTTGCTAGACTCCGGTGCATCAAGAACCACCCCACTAGCACTTTGTGGAGCAATTAACTAGAAGAAGCAAGAAATATGCAATGTGATGAAGTATAGATAGGAAAGCCAGGAGCTGTTTCGAAAAAGTACGATGAAACTAAATCATACCAGAAAGTCCTTTACCCCAAAGCACATCTGGAGATCATGTGAATTACCGTTCCAATCAGCAGTTCTAACTGCAACCCTCAGATATCAGATGATTTGTAAAGAGAAAACAGTTTCTCCCATATATAAACAGTGCACCCAGAATGAAATACCTTCCCGACTACCACCATTTTCAATCTGGAAGTAGAACTCCATGCAATAACTTTTTGTGGCACTTTTCAGGTCAGATTTGACCTTGTACAGATACTCCGATTCCTCGAGACGAATTGCACCCTTTTCCTGCAGTCACATAAGAATGCAGACAACCTACTAGAGGTCAAGCAGACGGATGAAACTAAAGTAGACTCCGAACACATGTCCAGCTTGATCGTTGTACAGGAAACTCTCAATAAAGAATCTAGCTAGCGCGGACACACAAACTATACTATATTCATGTGATCGTAATGAAACACAAACGATCCCATTTGCAGCTAACAAACTCGGTCGAAATGGAAGAAATAATTCAGAGAGCAAGCATACCAGCAAGTTTTTCGGACCATCGGCCAACCACTGGCGACAAGTTGCTTCGATGTCGGAAATGAACCTGAAGATTAAAGAAAGTAGTCGTAACATTCCCAGCGGTAAAGAAAGAAGCAATATGACATATTTACACGTAATTGTACTCGTGATGATGAATACCTTTCCCAAGAAGAAGCTAGAGTGAAATCATCGAACCGTTCCAGCTACAGAGGATACAAAATCAATGGAAAAAATGGGGAAAAATCTCGAAAAAAGCAAAAGAACAGATATGAAGATAGGTTCAGAGATGGTAAATGTTATACCTCTGCTTCTGGATCTTCGTCTTCTTCGACAGAATCTGATCTGCTAGTAGAAGCCATCAAGATCCGAGAGGCAAATCCGACCTTCTTCTCTTCGATAGGAAATAAGTGAATCGACGAGAGAAGATGGATTTACCGGTGAATATGGAAAAAATGAAAAGCGAGGACGGAGGGAGAGATCGATCCGCTTCCGGGGCACGACGACGACGAGGACGAAACGTGATTTCCAACGGCGTCGTTTCAAACTACAATTGGGCCTTATGGAAACCAATCGGCCCGGATTCTATATGTAACGTTTTTTGAACCACAAACGGTCATCTGATCCAACGGTCACAAACACCGCCCCTTCTCGACCCACTTTCCATTTTTTTTTCAAACTTGTAAATACTCCACTTTAGTACTGGACGTTTCGGTTCGGTTCTTCGGAATCAGACCGAACCGAACCGTTAAAACGATATTTTTTCTGATCCGAAACCGCTGTTATTTCCGAACGGTAACCATTTTTAGAGAACCAAATTTTTTCGGAACCGAACCGAACTGAACCGAACTTTAAAAATCCCGAAAAATCGAATATTTTTAAAGGAAATCTATCATTTTTTTAATAAAACTCAGAATCGAACCGAACCGATACTGAAACCGAACCGAACCAAATACAATAAAAAACCCAATTGGTAACTATTTTTGTAAAATCGAAAGAACCGAACCGATCCATTTCGTCTCGAACCCGAACCGTTTTCTGAAACGCTCAATCCTACTCCATTTGGTTAATAATCGAATTGAGTATAAACTAAAATATAAGATAAAACGAGGTAATTATTAATTTTTTGGAAAGAAAAATTTGAAACTAAGCAAAAAGCAATTTTTTTTGTTTTCTAAATCCGAAATAAACTCCGCCTGGACATGGGTTCGCTCGTGTCTTGCCGATTCCAATCCCGGGTAAAGGAGGAGGGTTTTGTGGTAGGTGGCAACCAACAAATCCAAACCTATGCTATATCTCGGCCGACCCCAAATGAATTTGGGAATGAGATCATGTTGTTGTTGTTGTTTCTAAATCTCAAATAACAAACCTAATATAATTGAATCGGATATAGTTTTAAGAGAAGTACCTGTATAGGCGTGTAAAACAAGTGGTGCGGCCCAATCCAATCCAATTTAGGGAATATTTTAGTTTAGTCCAACCCAATCCGTTTTTACACCAATCTAATTCAGATCGTTTTAGTCTGTGGACCATACGAACCGACCCACGAGTTAAATATATAATTTTAAAAACTATTTTAAAAAATTTTAAATATTTTAAATATTTAAAAAAATAAACATTTAAAACTATTTAAAATATTATTAAAAAAATTATAATTTTAAACAAAAACAAAATAAATATCTAAAAAATATAATTTTTATATAAAATATTAAAAAAATTATTAAAAAAAAATATTTTTTCTGACTCATGAGTCAACCCGTGAATCTATTGAAATGGCTCACAACGAGTCCTGTTGTGACGAACTTTGACCTATTTTTTTTACATTCAAATATTCTAAACCCAATTTGAAAAAAATATAGGTCGACTCGCGAACCAATCCGCGAATCAGATTCGTTTTACACTTCTATATTTGCATACAATTTGATGAAAATTTTTAGGAATAGACGTTTCGGTACAACTTTTTGAAACCGAACTACCAAATCAAAAATATAATTTTTTTTTAATCGAACCGTCTAAAATTTTCAAACAGTATTGTTTAGAAAACTAAATTTTTTAAAGCAGAATTGAATTGAATTTTTAAAAACTTACCGTAAATTTCTTTAAAAAAATCTAATTTTTTTTAATAAAAGAGCAGAATTTGAATTAAATCGAATCGAATGGAATGTAATATAATAACCGAATAATATATAGTTTTATAAAAACGAAATAATTCTAAACCGAATATTGAAATGTCGAACCCTATGAAAATTCTGAAGTGAGAAGCGTGACATTGATCGTCACCTACCCTCGCTAATTATTATATATATATATAATATTATAAGAGGGTCGGTGGTAGGTACCGAGAGTTATAAATCTGCATATTGTATTGCTCATTTCTCCACGATACACATGGCGAGCTCCGACGTGTGCCACGTGTTGGTCGTGCCTTTCCCGGGACGAGGCGACATCAACCCTCTCATGAGCGCGTGCGACTCCATGGCCGACGTCGACGTCCACTTCACCTTCGCAGTGACGGAGGAATGGTCGGAGCTGCTGCGTTCGGAGACGGAGCAGCGGCCGAGGATGGGAGTGGCGACCATGCCAAACGTGGTGCCGTCGGAGAAGGTACGAGGAGGAGACATCGCCGGCTTCTTCGAGGCGGTGATGACGAAGATGGAGACTCTGATAATGGCGGATTCTGCATTGGGTTGGGCGGTGAGGCTCGCCAACCGCAGGAATATTCCGGTGGCCGTATTCTTCCCCATGTCCGCCTCCATGTTTTCCCTCTTTCTGAATTTCCATCTTCTCCAGCACAACGGAGACTTTCCGGTGGTCTTGACAGGTACAAAGGGTTTGTTTCCTAAGATATTGGATATAAAATAACATATTTTAATGTTGCTTTTGACTGCGGTGGAAATTTGATAGATTTCGATCCCTTCTCGTATATTAAAACTATATTTAATTCATGCAATATAATGAATTTAAAATATATGAAAAAGTTATATTCAAAAAAAAATATATATATGAAAAAGTTATTTAAAACAATATAATAAATATAAAATATATTAAAAAAATATTATTTAGATGCATTTGGAACATCTTTAAAAAAAATAAAAATACAGTTAAAAGCATTTTTCTCTACCTTTTCCCTTTATTCCTATTGGATTTTTTTAATACAGAAAATTTACTCTTTATTTCTTTCATTTGATTTTTTTTTATATAAATAGAACTATAATTTGAAAACTGTATTTCTTATATGTGATGTGGGTCGACAAATTAAGAAAGAGGCAACGAGCGGGTGGAATATCTCCCTGGGCTGTCTCCGACTCGTCTCGTCGACCTTCTCGGCCCGACAGGTGGAACCTACGATTTCTTCCTTCAGACAATCTTAGATGCTTTCTCTCTGTTGCCTAAAGCCCAGTATCTAATACTCTCCACCCTCTACGAGCTCGAACTACAAGCCGTCGACGCCATTCGAGCCGCCCTCTCCATGCCGGTCTTCACAGTTGGTGGGGCTTTACAGCTTGGGGCCGACAACGCAGCCGACCAGGAGGACTATCTCCGGTGGCTCGACCAACAGCCCGAAGGTTCCGTACTGTACGTGTCCATGGGCAGCCACTTGTCGGTTTCGGCCGGTCAGATGGATGAGATCCTCTCTGGTTTGCTTGAAAGCGGAGTCAGGTTCATGTTGGTGGCTCGCACCGAGCCGGCGGCTCAGTTGAGAAATGGTGGTTGTGGGGAAAGAGGGCTGGTGGTTCGTTGGTGCGACCAACCGAGGGTTCTGTCGCATGGGTCAGTAGGAGGGTTTTGGAGCCATTGCGGGTGGAACTCTGTCAAGGAAGGCGTCCGAGCCGGTGTGCCCTTTCTCACGTTCCCATTAATGGCGGACCAGTTCTTGAACAGCAAGCTGATCGTTGAGGATTGGCGAGTAGGAGAAAGGGTCAGGGAAGATATCATCGTCAATGACGGAAATGCTTTGGTGACGAGGCATGAGATCGCGACCAAGGTGAAGAGGTTCATGGACAGGGAAGAGGCTAAGTCCATGGAGATGAGAGCCAGAGCCAAAGAGCTTCAGAAAACGGTTCGAAATGGAGTTTCAGAGGGCGATATGAGTTCCTTTGCTAAGGACATTCTTAAGCATGTCCAATGAAATGTGATGATCTTAATAAACCCAACTTTTGTAGGCCTATTACACATGCATGCATTTCTAAATGAAACTCTACGTAATAAAGCTTTTTATTCAATCATGCATGATTCATCTAAATTTGGATAGTTCAACCGGTGAAACGGGGGTGCAAAACGTTCGGTCCGCTCAAATTCAAATTTCAAATTTGTGAAGAAAGCATATTATCCAAATCATAAAATTGATTTCCGATCCCGAGATTAGTCTAGAACTTGATTAGAATAACCGGTTACTAAAAAAACCATATGCGAGTCCAATTGCATGGCGGGCTGTTATTGTATATTTCGCAAGTTTTTTATACAGATTAGAGTCGTACGTGATTCATAGTCTTGCAATTAATAATAATAATGCAAGAATTGAAGACGCTGCGGGAGATCCGCGTCTGCCGATAAACGCAGCGATCCCTTTCCGACAGCTTTTTGCGCGTATAAATACACTGAAAGCCTGTCGGCAAGGTCCCTCATTGTGCTGCGAGGGACCTTGCCTGCCGACATCTAACTTTGTAATCACACGAGCGTAAATTGTCCTACCAACTAATGAGCTCATACATTATTTTGATATTATGATATTATCTTTCTCGTCTTTTTTTGCTGATTACAGGAGCATAAATTACATTTCGTTAGAACCAGTAATATTTCTCAAACTCAAGCAAAGATCTATCCATTTATATCATCTTATTTATAGCGGATTCAAATCTTTCTTCTACTCTATTTTTTTTTAACTGTGGGAACCTATCGCACAACCCTTCGGACTGAACACCAGCCAGTCTCGTGGATTGGCGGCATTATGGACAGTAAATCTCCGATTCTGTACAATAGCCGACAAACAATACGGAACAGGTAAAACAGTCGAAACTGACCGGTTTAACAGAGCTCATACCTATCTTCTACTCATCTTCCTTCGGCGTTAATGTTGGATCTACCCAACAATAATATATATATAATATATATTGATGGAACAGACAACTTGCAGATTAATTGACTTATAGATCTCGGTTTCATATATAATATGGACCGCAGAATTGAGAAAATCAGACTAAAAACTTCGCCTTGTATGTAAATTGATCGGATCTCTACATGGCAGAGCATAACAATCAGAGATCATATATGCTTTGTGTGCATACATACATACATACATACATACATACATACATACATACATGTGAATACATATATATGAGAAGATATGTATTGTACTAGGTTTGTGTATTTATGTTTCTCCTCTTGCCGATGAGGGAGAAAAGGGAAGACAACAAAAATTGAAGATCTTATACTCATGAATTATGTGAGGATTCCATTTTCTCGTGTGCTCCTGATGGATTAGTTTTTTTTTTTTGATAACCGGGTAATCCCAGGCCCAAAGGGCACAGACTAATCCCGACCCACACGCACAACCGGCACCACACGTGTGGGATGTGAAGCACCCGAAGGTGGCCGGAAGGAAAATCTCCATAACCCTGGGTGTTGAACCCACGACCTCTTGTTCAGGAAGTGGGCTCTCAAACCAACAGAGCTGGGGAGATCCCCTCCTGATGGATTAGTTAATCACTGTATATATATATATATATATATATAATCAATATAAAGCACTTACAGATTCTCCACGAACTTTACGGAGACATGCATGATGATAAAGTAAGAAGAAGCCATCGAACTCAGGATAGATAGCGCCACTCTGATATATATAATCGTCTTCAGTATACAGACACACACACATATATATATATATATACAAGCACTTGTATATGCATGTCCATGGCGCTATCCCTCCTGAGCTTCACAGCTTCTCCTATACTGTGAGTGAGGTTTTGGACTTTCAGATCTGTATATTATATGAGTGTGTACACTTATACACACACACACATATATATATATATATATATATATATATATATAAGCACACATATATTAGAGAACTTGGTTGCGAGAAAAAAGGTCGGAAACGGTATATATACAGTGAATGGAGGAAGAAGTGGGCGCCCCTCGAACCCCTTTTTCTTTGATATGTGATTATTTCATAAACCCTTCGTTACTAATCATTTAATTATTCCACTACCAATTATTGCGTCTTTAATTGGTTAAATCGAGAAAATGACTATATTATCCAGGGAGAGTTTTTTAAGTATGAATTTGAGGGAGAGTTGAAAATTATAAAGAATTTACGCATATATATATATACATATATTTGAACTAATTTTTTTTATTATCATGTCATGAGTTATATTAAAAGAAACACACATAACCATTATCTTATAAAATAATCGTCACGGTCTCCGGACTTCATATGTACGCGATGGCCAGATACAGCAAACAAAACCCGATAAATAGGAAACTATATCGCCCAATAATATGAATTAGAATCTATCAAAATAAAATGTTGTAAATATTATTGTTCGCATATGCATGTATTATTTAATTGGAAACACATCAACTGTTAGTAAATAAATTAGCTCGGTAGTCGATATATATATATATATAAGTCGTGCATTAGATATTGTGCAGGGTTGGGCGGGGAAAACGTCAAAATTGAGTAGAGAAGAAATAAATGATATGGTGTGGAAGAACGGGAAATGCAACATGCATGGGCGGGCCCCATTGCTCCTGATAAAAAAAAAATTAAATATTTTGATATTTCATATAATACGGTAAAAGACAGGACGTGGGAGTCTGTGGCAACATTAATTAATTTCAACTTTTTTTTTAAAGGAGGTATTATCGTTACAAAGGAAAGAGAGTAGCTATATCCATTTATTCGATACACGGAAAGTGGGCCCCACGCGCTAACGCATGCACGACCGAACGTCATACACATCCGCGTGTGTGTATATGCATACATAAATCATATTCATGTAAACTATGCTAATGCATGTATATTCATATAAATACGTGTATATCATGTCAGTCGCATGCATTATTTGTGCTCTCCGAAAATCAAACTATTGCATTAAAAAAAATTATTACATGTCGCTAACCTTATAAAATACGAATTACGACCATATGAATAGAGTGAATGCATTTTAATGGAACAAATAATTGAAAAAGGATTGTCCGTCATCGGAGGAGGGATAATCACATACACACACGCACATACACTGCTGTATCCATTTTGGAAGCTTAGGTTTCACCAAATATTTAGGCATAAAAACAGGATTAATTAATAATATAACCAATTAAAAGATTAATAAGAAAGTAATTAATTTATTAGGTAAAAACGGGTGGGTATTTCGGTTCGTTTCTTATCGAATAAAAAAATACGATATTTTTTTCGATTCAAACTGTGTAAAATTGTGGAACGGTATTAATTTTAGTAAAATCCAAAGCCGAAAATAATATAAGATCTAATTGGTATTTATTTTTATAAAATCCAAAGAACCGATTCGAATCATTCCGGGTCTAAACCCGAACCGAATACCGAAACGCCCATCCGTGTTTTGCATGTTTCTTTCTCATACGTAAAAAAACAAGATTAGGATTCTGGATTGAGATAATCTATCAAAACTCCGAGAACTTCATGGTGATAATGTACATACACACGTACGGCCTTGTTCTTGACAAATCAAGGGTATAATGGTTATTTTCTTATCATTCGGTACCCACACATATTAAAATCCTATACTAAAACATATTATCTCGTTGTAAACATGTTAAAATCCGATATCTATCTATCCGATTTTCAGTTATCCAACTTTCAAATAATAGAATGGATGAATACCTGAAATTCGGACAATTTTCCCACCGACATACGAACAACATAAAAAAAAAAAAAAAAAAAAAAAAACAGCATCGCCATGTCCAAATGACCACAGGTTCAGTTCATGAGAATCTTCTGGAATTCTTTAAAAGGGTTTTTCATTTTAAGATCAAACATGGGACATCTGCTGTCTGAGTTTCTCCAGAAGCTTGATCTTAGATTCACATATCTGTAGAAACTCCCGCAGGACTTTCTGCTGCGCCATTACCGTCTTCCTGGCTGTTTCTTCGGTGTTCCATCTTTTCAGAGCTTCGTATATCCAGTTCCCGACTTCTGATTCACCGCTGGATTTCACATGACCCTCCAACACTTCCATTACCTGTCCTGCTCCTCCGCTTCCTTCGTGTTCTTTTCTCTTCAGTGATGACAGAAAATACTCCAGTTTCTCTTCTTCTGGTTTATTGATCAGATCCAGCACCCACTTTGAAACTTCTTCTACCGTCCTGCATATTGACTCTATCGAATCTCTGACCACCTGTGTCAAGGGGGATTGGTCTGAATGTTGAGTTTTCTTCTTTTTCTTCCCAGATGGCAGAGAAGATCGGACACATGCTTGGATTACAAGAGAGTGCCATGCCATTGGTTCAGAGATTATCTGAACCAAGGTTTGAAGATCAGATTGGCAAGAACCGAAGATGGCAGACGACTCCGCTGCCGATCTTAGTCTATCCCGAATAAGCTTCTCTAGCAGCGAGTTCACACAGAGCCAGTGCTCAGGAGAATTCAGGCTCCATGCATTCCAAAGCACCGCAAAGTTTAACCAGTCAACCAAATCTGGGCCAAGGGTCTGCAATATATGTTTCCACAGTTAATAAATAGCAAGATCACATTCAATGAATGCATACAAGTCCAAGGAGTGGAGAAACTGATTTAGAAAAAGCTAACCTCGGAACCCTTTATACCCGTCGAGACCTCCGAGACCAATTTTACAGCATCAAGGAGAGGAAATCCTAACATTTTTGCATACTGTTCGAGTAGAAACTCGAGTTCTGCAGAGGTTTTGGGGTCTGTTAGAGACCCATTTGGTTCAATTCCCTCTTTGAAAGCTGTTGATGCACTCTGAACAGAGAGGTATATCATCCGTGGTAGAAGGGATTTTCTCTGGATGGATCGCTTAACATTTTCTTCCCGCTCTTTAATCTATATACAGTTGTGAGAATAAAAGGAATCGGAATCATATCAGTGCCTCGTATAAAATGTGTATGTGTGGCAGCAGACTAAGTCACGTACCACATTCTCCAAAGGATAGTAAGAAATTTCATTGAAAGGACCTGAAGAATTAGAAAACAAAATGAATTCAACACGCTTCATCAATTGAAGAAAGAGGACTTAATTAGATAACTAGCAATCCAGTGATCTCAAAGACTCAAACCACCGCAAAGAAAAACTCACCTAGCAGATAGTTTTTCTCTGGCCGTGGTGTCCACCATGGTCGTGTTTGTAGATCTTCATTGAATGTCAGTGATTTGGATCCAATTTCTTTTGAGAGCTCAACAAAATGAACCCCGCATTTCAGATTTTCAAGAATGCGCTAGACGAGAAGAACGAAAAAAATGCATTGTTAGATAAACAAGAGGATCCCAATAGCTAAAAGTTAACTAATTACGCTATTAAGTTTGCAGATGAATTACCTCTTCTTCTTCAATGCTGTTTGCATTCTCCTTTAGTTGAAGAATAGCGGTTTCAACCCTAGCAACCAGGTACTGACTTGAGCGCTGTAATCTTTGTTTAAATAGGACAAATTCAATGACCTGAAGAGTCACGTAATACAGTAAGTCGTAACAGCATGAAATTCCAATCTTTTAGCCAAACAGAGACGAGACGAACGGACGAAGATTACCAAGGGAAATAATTAGTTTCATGAGAAGCCAAAAAGTTTTTACCTTTGTGTAATTTCTATGGCGATAAGCAAGAGATGTAAGGTCTGCGGATTCTCTCAGATGATCATCCATGAACTTGAGATAATCTTTTAGGAGGTTATTTGAGTCCACCCACATGGGAGATACCAACATCTGAGGTAGAATCTGGTGTGAAACAGTTTCTGTCAAGATGTTCTTCACATCAAGCGCTTTATACCTAACAGATGATTAAAAAAACCTTCAGTAACAAACGATCTGAACAAGAGAGAAGCCATCGATATTAAGAATATACCACGGAAGTATATTCTTATCATCTGTATTGGGGGAAAACAAGAAATCTGACCAGCATAGTACCGTTCATACGCAAGTGGAAGCGCACCGATATATGAATATATGTGCAACAGCAAAATCTTGTACTGCCAGACATATCTGCACAAAGATACAATATTTATTAAGCTTAGTAATTTAAGACCCATAAAAAGCTGTGGGGCAGTGTCATTTATTGTCTCATATGCAAAGATGAACTGGAAAAATACAGAAGAAGCTACCGCAAAAGAGAACTTTTTGCTCGAAATGGCATAGCAAAAACTGGATAAACCCAAAATCGACTCGCAGGAAGAACGATTATACATAAAGAGCAAATGAATGGTACTGACCCTCTGATAGTCAAGCCTAATTCAAGAACCATGATTGCCTCGGCAAGGTAGCCAAAATCTCTCGTTCTCCAGAATAACTAAGAGCAACAGTCAGCGATTAATTAATAAACAGGTGTGTTGCACAGGAGAAACATGCATGTTAAAAACTAATCAAGTACCTGGACCAACATGTTGCTTATGATTGATAACAGGTCTTGCCCATACATGCTCTCTTGCTGGTCCAAATCCTTAGAAAGGGGGAGATTTTCACAGTACAGCTTTGCCAATTTGACAGCAGAGGCTTCAATATCTGGAAATTAGGAGGAAAAATAGGATGGTGAGTAGGTTGAATAGACCACTAATTAAACAGTGTTCTGGAAGAGGTTAATAGAGCATTCACTAGAAAAATTAATTTCATGATCACAATTGTATAAGGCTTTTCTAAAACAAAATATTAGTAGAAATTCTGTAAACCCACAAGCCAGTACGAGTTCATCATGATAAGAACAAAGAGATGGCAAGCACAACAATACCATAGAAGCTGCAGCCTCAAAACTATGAATTTAACAACCAAGCATTATGAAATTGCAGAAAAAAGTAAAGAAAACACACCACCCACAGGGAGCTTGAATATATTGCCCGTCAATTCTTGGACTTTGAATATTGATGTTAACTGACCAAGCACTTTAGTTGGAGATTCAGAAAAGGAGTCTGCATTTTTCGTTAGCATCTCCACAAATTCTGCCTTTCTATCAGGGGACAAGACTTGTAGGAATCCTTCAATATCAGAAGCAAAGCAGGCTAAATGACCAAATCTGCACATAAAGGAACAAAAGCTCAGAAGGACATTAAAACATCAGTGATAAAACTTTATACATACATGTACTTCCAAATTCGCAGTATCTGTATTGATACTCAAAGCATTCACAATAACAAGAAGAAGAAATTAACGCAAGAAGGTTTCATGCAGTGACATACTTGAGGAAATATTGCAGTAATGATTCTAGTAACTTATTTTCGTTCTTCTTTGCATACAAGAACTTTCTCCTCTCGATCTCAAGTTCCACCAAGTACAGACCCCTTAAGTTAGCATTCTGAGCATCTCTTTGTAATTTTTGTACCAAATCTGATGCACTTGACATTTGAGAATCAAACTGCATATTGTTTAACATGAATGGCATTGGCATTAGGACCAGCTGAGTGGAAAAAACAATAAAAAATGAAAATTTTCAATATAGGGAAGGGTAATATCACCACCATTTCATCAGTAAGGTGAGAAAACTTGCATTCCACGAATTTCATAGGATGTATTTGGTCATTGCTGTTAAAGTTCTTCCACATGGTGTCATCTTCAAGTAAACAGCCAAGATAGTGTAGAAAACACTCCCAATCATCTGGACTGTCAAGAGAACAGAAAGACAATATCAGCATAATGGCATGAAAAGCACAACATTGAGATACAATATCGACAGACCATATGGCAGTCGACTGGAATTCATACCCCCGACCCTAAATCACTGATAGTCGAGAGGCTCATTCTTCGGGAACATACCTTAACTCTAATATTTTCTTATAGATGTCGGCAGCGGTAACATAGTCACCTGCCCTAGCCAGGAGTCTCCCCTGTCAGCTTAAAGTCAGAGAGTTGGGTGCATGAACACACAGGAAAAGAGTTCAATATGCGCAATATTCATGCCATTATGCATAAATGGGGATGCAAAATAAGAATCAAATCAGGAAACACATGTAGTTAGAAGATCCCTGTGAAAATAGTTATAAGAACTATGAAGCATGACTATGAAAATTCCTCATCTTTTGCCCCCAAGAAGCCTTGTAACCTACCTGTATCCGTAGTTTATCAACTTCAATCATCAAGAGAGATCCTAAATTCCCAGAAAGCACTTCCAATGCATCGTTATATTTAGATTGTTGCTCCAGCAGAGAGATATAGACGAGGAGAGCTGCAAAAATTCCGCTCTTTAATCAGTAAAAGAAACGATTCAGAGGTCTTAAGATAGTCTCAACTTCCAGAACATGTAAACTGCAATTCACCTTCTGGCTCATGCAAACTGTGAGAAGCTATGTGCTTCTTAAGTAAACCTTCTGCCAGAAGCAACAGCTTCTCTCCGCCTTTGTCACACAAAACCTGTGGGAAATCGTTACTATTAAGTAAAGCAATACAGATCTTTGAAAAGCCTGATCACAGGATGGTAAGACAAACACGGCCAGTACCTGTAACTGGATGCTACAAACTGACCAAAGCAAAAACCTTTCTTCTCCGGCGAGTTTGTACATTTTGATGGCTGTCTGCCACCAAGCAAAAAAAAAACAATGAGAAAAAGACAAATACCAACTGAAAAAAAAAAACTGAACAACCAACCTGTTGCTGTCTGACGAAAGAGTATTCACGAACATAGCAGTTGAAGAGACCCATCATAAGCTCCAAATTGTTGGCGAATTTGTTGCAAGCATGCTCATAGCAACTAGTGGCCAAGTCCACTGATGATATTAAGACATAAGACTTAGCTAAACCCGGGAAAAAAACAGAGGAGTTTCATTCCTTTTTGTTGGGTATGAGAATGCACTTACAGTGATCGAGTCTCTGTAAAACAATCTGCAATGTGCTGAGAGTGAGATCATCCATTAACAAAGAATCATCTTTGTACAAAAGCTCCTTGGCATTCAAGCAAACGGACAATGCCTCATCCGTTTTGCCCATTCTCTCAAAGATAAGAGCTTTAAGCGCCTGATAAACACAACCGCATTTGGGAGGAACTCCATCAGATTACGGTTCTCACTTGGGAAGAAGACCGAAAGAAGAAAGACAGAAACTAATGTCGGTAACACTTACGAGAGCGTAAGGTGAATTCGGGTACTTGGAAAGCAGCGTGGTGATGAGCTTCAGAGCATTTTTGAACTGGCGAGAATCGATGGCGTCCCAGATGGGTCGGACCCGTCGCTCCGGAATCCCACCCGCCAATCCGAATTTCGAAGCCATACGGAAAGAGTTAAAGAGGGTTCAGAGCTAATCTGGTTTGTCGGAAAACTTCTCGATTCTGCTGCGTTGAATTTAAGTACCAGTGATGATCTGTTGCAGAAATGGAAGATGTGAAATGGCGGAGTGAAAAAACCTAATCACGGCCACGACTCCGTCACGGTTCAGAATAAGACTGGATTTTAATTAATGGGCCTAAACGGGCCGGGCGGGTCAGCCCATTGGAAAATTCCTCGTGAGTGACCCGAGACCGAGAGAGATTCTTCGGTACTTCCTATATTCTTCCCCATTGACGAGAGACTTTCACTTCACGCCACGCTAGGTCGCGAAACAGTCACGTGTACCACCTGATCCGAACGGCGCACCGCCGGCGCACGTTAGCAACTCTGGTGGCATTTAATTCGACTTCTCCCCCAAATCGGAAAACCCTAGCTTTCTTCTCTGTTTCTCTGCGAATTTCTTACTTCAATTAACTTAGTCCATTGAATTATTCTGCTGTTTATTTCGGAGAAGACGAGATGATGGGATCGGAAAATGCCGAGGGGTTCGAAGAGGCTCATCTCTATGCGTCGAGGGAGGAGATGGAGAATCTCGTCCTCTCCGAAGATGGTGGCACCGACGACCCTTTGACGAGAAGCGATGCCAACGGAGATAAGTTCTACTCTGGTTATCGCAGCGCGATGTCCTCTCTCTCCGACGCGCGCCATCCCCTCTCTCTCCCGCAGATCGTGGTGTCTCCGGCCGATTCCGATCCGCTTCTCACACCGCCGTCGTACGGAGATCTCCGGGGCTCCGGTTCTAATCTCAAAAGCGGCGACAACTCCTACATCGAGCCTCCCTCTTACGCCGATGTCATCTTCAGCCCTTTCGATGAGGGTTCCATCAGCGAGATCAACGGCGCCGACGACGGCAGTTTTCACAGTCAACCTTCTGACTCACTCTCGAGATCCCCGTCTTCCTCCGGCTCAGATTACCTCAGAATCACTGTATCGAACCCTCAGAAAGAGCAGGAGAACGCAAATTCCATCGTTCCTGGAGGAAATACTTACATCACCTACCTCATTACGACCAGAACAAATCTTCCTGAGTTTGGTGGATCCGAGTTCAGCGTGCGAAGAAGATTCAGGGATGTTGTTACTTTGGCAGATCGATTGGCTGAGGCGTACAGAGGATTCTTCATCCCACCGCGGCCAGACAAGAGCGTTGTGGAGAGCCAAGTTATGCAGAAGCAAGAATTCGTGGAGCAGAGAAGAGTTGCTCTGGAGAAATATTTGCGAAGGCTTGCTGCACATCCTGTGATCAAGAAGAGCGACGAGTTGAAGGTGTTTCTACAGGTGCAAGGCAAGCTGCCGCTACCTACTACCACGGATATGGCCTCGAGGATGTTGGATGGTGCAGTGAAGCTGCCAAAACAGTTGTTTGGTGAAGGTGTAGTCTCTGCAGTGGCGCCACATGAGGTGGTTCAGCCGGCCAAAGGAGGTAGGGATTTACTGAGATTGTTCAAAGAGCTGAAACAATCAGTTGCCATTGACTGGGGTGGGTCGAAACCACCCGTGGTTGAAGAAGATAAAGAATTTTTGGAAAAGAAAGAAAGGATGCAGGATCTTGAGCAACAAATCATCAATGCTTCACAGCAGGTAAATTCTTATATTTATAGCTAATTGACGCATCATTAGATCTGGTGTATTCGGAATTATATGTTGTTGCTATGTTTTCTTAGGCTGAATCCCTGGTGAAGGCCCAGCAAGACATGGGGGAGACTTTGGGGGAAATAGGATTAGCATTCATTAAGTTAACAAAGTTCGAGAACGAGGAAGCGGTTTTCGCTGCTCAAAGAGTACGTGCGGCTGATACGAAGAATTTGGCAACTGCAGCTGTAAAAGCAAGCAGATTTTACCGGGAATTGAATTCCCAAACTGTCAAACATTTGGTAAAGTTTCAATTTGGAAATTTTTCTACTCAATTGGTGGAGATTTAGCTCATCACTATGAATTCCTTATGATACAAATGAGTGTTTGTTTTCTTGTTGTATTGAAAAATGATTCCTAAATGTGAACACTGCAAACCCTCTTCATTCATTCAATTTGGGCTCAGCCCTCGCCGTAAACCAATTGACTTGGCGGATCCCCGTCTGAACATACACTGGAATCATACTAGCGTTTACTCCAATCTGAGCTGTACCTTTTTTATCCCCTGAATTATCGATGTATGTTGCAGGACACCCTCCATGAATACCTTGGCTTAATGATGGCTGTCCATGGTGCATTCTCGGATAGATCTAGTGCCCTACTGACAGTGCAGACGCTACTATCAGAGCTATCTTCGTTGGAGGCAAGAGCTGAAAAGCTGGAGGCCGCAGCATCAAAGGTATTTGGCGGTGACAAATCAAGGATTCGGAAAATAGAAGAGTTAAAAGAAACAATCAAGGCCACCGAGGATGCCAAAAATGTCGCCATCAGAGAGTACGAACGGATCAAGGTATGTAGCCATGCCCTCATGCATGCATTTGAAGCCTTTGCTTATATATTATTGACAAAATCTGAAGTCTTATCGTATCATGGATGTGTATGATTGCAGGAAAACAACCGTTGTGAGATTGAGAGATTGGACAGCGAAAGGCGTGCAGACTTCTTGAACATGTTGAAAGGTTTTGTGGTGAACCAGGTATGCTATTATTAGGGAGTACATCATAAGTGCTGCCAATGTAACTGTCTCCATGCATGGAGTGAGTGAAGGATCTTAGGCTCATATGTAGTTTACAATTATTGTTGACGTTTTGAGGAGGGAAAACTCTTAAAACCTTTCCCCTCTTAGGTTAATTCTAGTCAAGGAAATTCAAGCACGAGAGTAACAATTAACAAACGATAAAAAAGTTTTAGACGGTGAATATATGGGTGCCTGAAGTTAAAAGGGTTAGGAACAGGTGGTATGTCTGTAGGTTCGTATGTTTGTTGCACAGGAATCGATATTCGATGGTTGTTTTAGCTGTAAAGTGCTCAAAATTTGATTGGAAAATAGTTTGTTTAAGTTGAGGATAGTATCCTATCCCATCGTGTCCTAGGGCAATCCATGTTCAATACTTACCCACTTGAAAGATTTATGAAATATGATGATTTTCGTACACATGATAAAACACTTGAATGTGTTGCAAACACAAGCAAGGGAGATTGGTGGGGCTTGTTGCATCGCATTCTTGGTTCATAGATCTCACAAGATTCAAGTGTTTTATTTCTTAAGCTGGTGAGTTTCTTAAAACGGTGTGATTGTGGATGATGTTGGGGGAACAGGTGGGGTACGCGGAGAAAATAGCCAATGTGTGGGTAAAGGTAGCGGAGGAGACCAACCAGTACGAGAGGGAGAGCAGTTGAGTTATGCGTACGTCGTGTTCGTTTTATGCTGGTTTCTTTTTGGTTTGTTTGTGTAATTTCATGTTTGATGACTACCACTACTACTACTACTACTCTACTGCACAGGAATCACTTTCGGAATAATGGCTGTCAAAATGTAGCTCCTTCCTCTTTTATTTATATAGATTTTTTTCCAATATTCTGACGCCGTAAACCGCTCTCAGAAGCTCTCTGTCTCTGAGCTCATCTTGATGCAGGTGCTGTAATGTTGGACGAAGGCGAACCTCAGTCAAACCTCAAAAAAAGACTGAAGAGGGATGGATGCGAGAGAAAAGCCAAAAGCCCATTGGGCCTTCTTTCTCATAAAATCCAGAAGCCCAACCCCCAACCCCCTTTCTGTGTTGTGACCAGAAGAGTAATTTCAATTCAAAGTTTCGAAATCCGAAACCCCGTTCCAACCCCGAAAGGGAAAAAGATAAAAGAGGCGAACCTTCTTCTCGCAGCCTCTTTCCC